TCTGCACACAGGTCATTGAAAATGAAAACTCTTTAAATCTTTAAAACCTACTCTGAATTTCTACGAATTGCTATCATTTTTTTAAGAAGGAAACAACTAAGGCAAAAAGATAGACAGGTAGATATAAAATATGTCAATAATTGCGTGCCTATATTTATATAGCTTTGTACTTAAAAAAAAAAAGGCTAATAACCCTAATTAACAACTTTTGTTATTCTTTTGTTAATTGTTTTTAAGATAATTTTTTATATTAGTATAAATTTATTTATTGTAATTGTCCAAATTTGAACATGTATTTGCGCGCCAGTTACCTAAATATCATATTCAAAATAAAATGTAAACTAAAGAAAAGGAAGTTATAAATAATTAAATAGGTAGCGACGCATAAGGTTAAAGTAATATAAAAACGAAATGTGTATGTAAAATTTACTATTTAAGAAGCAAAATTATAGAAAATAAATTAGTTAAACATTTGTTGTATAAGCTTAAACGCATTTCTTCGGTCAAAATATATAAAAGTACGATAACTCGTGGATTATATCTAAAACGTTTTTTTCTGCAACATACAAAAATGGCTGAATATAATATTGAAAGTGAATTTAATATAAATAAATTAACATTGGAAGAACAATTAACCAGAATTGAAGAATCTGTGGGAAAAATTTCTCAAAATCAGGACGCGATACTCAAGGAGTTGAAATTAGTAAAAGGTAACATAACTAACATTACTAAATAAAATAAAATTATTTATGAGAATCCCTTTTTTTACAGAAAGTAACATTGACGTTATAGTAAAATTCCACACACTCATGAACATGATGGAAAAGAGAAGCGAAACATCAGTTTCTGATTCTTAAATGCTTCAATATTCGGTATAAAAAAATTGATGTATATATATAAATAAATAAATAAAACTAACAACTTATTTTTCTTTATAGAATCCTTGCAAAAAGATGGCTATACAGAAAAGGAGTATATTTCGGATATACGAATAGCCATAAAGAATGTTAAAGGAATTTATAATAAACAGCAGTGCAACGACCGGAAGAAGCACAGAATGGAAGAAAGCAGCAAATAATTTTTATTTATTTATATAATATTTATAATAATAAAAAAACAAATAAAAAAAACAAAAAAAAAATTAAAATCTATAATTATAATATCAATAAATATTGTTTTTGTAATTTTTATTTATTTATATTAAAAAAAAATTTATATTTATATAAAAAAAAAATTAAAACAAAAAAAATTATAATTTATAATATTGTAATTTTTATTTATTTATATTAAAGAAAAAATTAAAACAAAAAAAATTAATAATATTTATATTTAAAAAAAAATTTAAACCAAAAAAATTTATAATCTATTGTTTTTGTAATGTTTATTTATTTTTCTAATAAATTAAAACAAAAAAATATATTGTTTTTTTATTTTTTTTATAAAAATTTATTTTAGAATAAATATATGTAAAATGCATGTATTTAACATCATTACTGACACAAATACCACACTTAATACCTCGAGTTTGTGAAATTTTAGAATGTGTTAAGAAGCGTTTTTGTCCGCATCTACTGCAATTATTTTCAGTTGTACTGCCTTTAGTATTATCACCACTGTCGAAAACTCAAGATCTTATTTCATTTACAGTTACAGATGAATTAAGTTAAGTAGAAGCAGAAAAGTAATACCTTTATAGTGAAAATATGCTTTTTGGAATTACAAAGATTTTTCTAAGTTCACATTATTGGATGATGTAAATTCATATTTTAAATACACATATAGTATATATTGTACTGTATAACCAGGTTTACCATGTATAATAACAATTTATGGATCTAGACGCTATATAAATGTTTGTAGCACTGTTCTCGGCATAAAGTAATGGATAAATTACAATTCTCATTATGTTAGATCTATTGAAATATTGCTGTGAACAAGCATAATAATGCTAGAGAAGTTGCATTAATTTAATATAATACTTTGCTTATAAAAGTAAACTGATTTCGATACATATGTGCGAATGATTTCTTTAACTTTAATATAAAATGTGTTTTGTTTTAAAATTAATTGTAGTCTAATTAGAAAAACGAAAATTTATTCTTATTATTTTACTTTTTTAATATTTTTAATATTATTTAACTTTATTTCTTGTGTGGAAAATGTTAATCAAAATATGTTTTAATTAGCAATGTGTGGTTTTATTTTCAATGTACTTAATAAAACATAAGTTTAACCTGGTTTTTGTTTTTCGTTATTAAGATTTTTCTTATTGTTTCATTTATAAAATATATTCCTTTTAAGGGCCCATTAGACAGCATCGCCCGCTGTCAGCGCGCGATGTTGTCGCTTGTCATGTATTTATACTCGCATAAAGAGATGAAAGCGAAAACATCGTTTAAATGTATGTATAATTTTATTTTTTAGTATATTTGTTGTTTTGTCTGGGGCGTGTTTAAAAAATTGTTGATAAATTGATGCTGTCTAATGGCTATTTTACGATTCGAATTAGAGAGCGCATGCAAAAGCTGCTGTGAAGGATGTAATCTGCCCGTAATATAAAGAAAAGAAGAGTTATTGTAGATGACTGGATTTTAGATTAGATTAAGATTTTAGATTTGGATCACATTTTAAAAAATCTATTTACCATATTTCTTCATTCTCTACTAACGATGATCACTATCAAATAGTAAAGTACCTAAATGAACATTTATTAGTGATAGGGTTATTACAGCTGGTGCTCGGTATTTTCATAAAAAATTAGTAAAAGAAGGTACAACGACAAAAGACGCTTCAACAATTTAAAATTTCATTACTTTCTACGTAGTACAAAGGTACTGAGAAAGACATGCTTTTTGGACACAACATTTTCCTATTTTAAAATTAGAAGTGGATCAACTAATTATCCTACAGCCAGCTGCTTATCACACAGAAAATGTTGATCCAATTGAAAATTAAAAAAAACGATTCTGAGGCAAATCCATGTTATGCATTCCAGAGAGGTTCACGAATTTTTACCAAAATATTACTGTTTTCTGGTAAAATAATTACTAATTTTATAGTGTTGTTCAGCGTTAGTATCTTTAATTATAATTTTTATATAATTTAAAGCTAGGAAAATGTTGTATTTTTTGGTTTTAAAAAAAATGTATTGAAATACTTTATTTTGATTTCAGAAAAAATAAATAAATTTTGCGATTTAATCATTTTATTTTAATATTAAATATAAAAATTAAAATATAATTAATATTAATATTAAATATAACTAATATTAATATTAAATATAATTAAAAATATTATTAAATGAAATTAATTAATATTATTAAATGTAATTAATTAATATTAATATTAAATATAATTAATAATATTATTAAGTTTAATTAACATTAATATGAAATGTAATTAATATTATTATTAAATATAATTAATATTAATATTAAAAGTCTGTAAGAAGACTTATTTATATAAAAGGAAAGCGCCATTCGAAATAGGTGCGCCGTACTTGTTTGTTAGCGTTTTTCGTGTAAAAATTTACAAGTTCGAAGCTAGATATCTTGAAAACCAAGCTATATTGATATATACCGAAGTGGAAAAATGGTTGAAAATAGTTATCTATGTACTATCCACTATAATTCGTGGGCGTGTCCGTGAAATTGAAATTGTGTTGCAAATAATACTAAAAAAATTCGACACTTTCAATAGAATGCATGGGAAATATATATAATTTGATTTTCCAAAATTCAGTAGTACGTACAAGTGACTTAGATATGTTTTTGCGGCAAGCAATATATACAGTATATATTTTTTATCTGTTAGATTTCTCATAGTGTATTACTAAAATTGAAGTCTAAAAAGTTTGTGAGCTTAAGTGGTAGCTAAAGCTAAAATTTTGCAGAATAAATTTCATATTCTAGATATTGTTCTACTGACTTACTTAGTTACCTACTTACTTACTTACTGGGTTACTTAAAATTCACGTACGTACATGTACGAGTATTTGATTCTTTTAAAGTGTAAATTATTTCGTTATTTAATCTGCATTTTGTCTATCAAAAGGGTGTTCGTTTTAGATTGTAACATCTTGAATTTGCAAAACATTTCTAAGATATTCTACGCACACAAACTTTTATGTAAATACAGAAAAAAAATAAAAAAAAATAAAAAACAACAAAAAAGTCAACAACAATATAATTATACATAAATTGAAATTTAGCTTAAGAGATGTATCTGTGGGTATGCACCGAACGATGAATATAATTCGTATGGAAATTTAATGGAATTCTCTATTTTTATTCTGTGCACATTTCAGGCATTTTTATCTGCTGTCCCTTGCTGGCATTTGTATGTCTGTATATGCTCCATGGCTCTATGGCTCTATGACTCTATGACTTACTACAAACAGTGCCTTGTATAAGAGCTCAAATTTACGTGCTGTCATAATTGTTGAATATCACTTTTATCTGTACAATAAGCCTGCATATCGTTGCAATTGAAATTGTTTCATTTGTATTCGGAAATGCTGTTGTTTCTCGGTTTTAATTATTTATGCCTACGACTCTATGAATTTCAATAAAACCAGCAATATGTCTGCCTCTCGTCGCAGGCCAACACATGTCAGACTGGCAAGTACACAAATACTTTGATTTATGCAGAAGCAGTGTTGTAAATTGCATTTAATCTTTTCTGGATATGTAATGAAACGATCATATGACACAGTTGACTTGATTTTTTTCCTAAATCGATTTTAACGTAAGTTGTAAAATTATCTTTTATGTCTAACAAATGACCTACTAGATAAGTTTTGAAGTTTTGACCTAAAATTTATATAAAGTGACATCTATAAAGGCGAGCTTTGTTCAACAAAGTAAATTTTATACAACCTCTATTTATCCTCTTGTTTTCTTATTTATGTATATGACTAAACTAATAGCGTTTAACTAAAATTTAATATCATAATTTATATGAACTCCAAATGCTGTTAAGTTGTCTGGTCCACTACTTACCGTAAAGTCTTATAATGCCATCTGTTTCACCTCTTGGATTTTTGGCAACGCACTTGTAGATACCATCGTCCCCACTGGTCACGTTAATGATTGTAAGCTTCATATGCGTCTTATAACCTGGTGCTCCAATGCTGGATTCAACCCTGAAAAAATTTGACTGATTTTTACAAGTTTCTTTATCATTAACTCGTTAAATCTATAAGTTTTAGTTTTATCAAGTTAAAAGCCAAGTAAACGAATCATAGATCAAAATTTCTGTCTTTACACTGAAAAAATTAGTTTTTCTTTTTAATGATTATTAATAAAATTATTATAAAAACTCTATTAATTCTACATAATACATAATACATATAAAATATAATATATATATATATACAGACCTATTCTGTGCACTTTATAAACTTGTCAAACATTGATACTTGTCAAAACTGACTGCTGTAAAGGTTTTGGTATTCTGTGACATAAATAAAAAGCTCTTTCTCTTGTTAGTTGTCAATACTATAAATGCTGTTGACAATTTTAAAAAATATGCTCTTTACAAGCATTTTTTATTATTTGCATGCTTGAAAAATATTGTTAACTAAAATATATGCTCTTTACAAGCATATTTTTTATTGTTATTTGAACGAATGAAAAATGCTTTTGATTACTTAAAATATGTGCTCTTTACAAGCATTTTTTACAAAACACTACACCATAGTGTAGTGAGAAGCAATAGGTACTTGAATTTTGAAATTTGTTAAGATGTGTACAGAATACCAAAAAGCAAAATATTTTATTAAATAATTTGACAAATCATCAAGATCCGATAATATATATATAATATATAATACATAATATAATAATATAATACAAGTTAAGTATCACGTTGGGTCAGTTGGCTAATGAACACTGGCTCAGCTTCAAATGTTCATCGCGAACCAGGGGGCGAGTTCAATTCCTTGGTACTTGTAGTCTCAAAAAATTATTTACGTGTAATTAAATATAAGAAATTTACCAATGATGGGTATTTGGCAATACTTGAGACAGCTGTGTGGTCAGCTAAAAATTTCATTAATTAATAAAATAATAAAATTATATTGTTGTAATTTAATATTGATAACAATAGTTTATATTAAGAATTTAGTTTTTTTTTTGTCAAAGCGGACTTTTAAACTCAAATTTTATTACAATTTTTTATTATTTATTTTTAATAAATATATAGAAACCATTTCTAAAAATATTAATGTATATTTTTTTTTTATTTCATATTAAATTAAATTAATTTTTCCATCCAAATATTTACTCCTTTTAATAAAAATTTATATAAAATTTATGAAGATAAATTAATTTGAAACAAATAATTTTTAACAAATTAAATAACAATTTAGTATATATTTAAAAAAAAATATTTATAATCCATTAAAGAAATTTTTTTTAACTAAATTTATACCCCTTTCAATACAAATTTTTAAAAATAAATAAATTTAAAATAAATTTTTTTTTAAATAAAATTGTATTATTTATCTTTTATATTATTAATTATTAATTTTATATTATTTTATATTATAACACATTTTTAAAAATATTTAATTAAATTGATTTTTAACGTAATAGTAATATTTTTAGTGTAATAATAATAATTCCTATTATTATTACAATAATAATATAACATAATAATAATTCTTATTGTTATTAGTTGAAATTTTACTACTGTTCGACTAAATATATTACATATGCATTTTATATTCATAAAATTAAATTATTATTAATAATTATTTATTTATAATATTCATAAATATTTATATTTATTTTATAAAATAATTTCAAGACCACTGATGACGGGTATTTGACAATATTCGAAACAGCCGTATGATCAGTCAAAAATTTAATTAATTAAAATAATATACAAATAATTTTTGTTGTTTCAGTTCACTAATTTTCAAAACCTCCACAAAAAATATTTATTAAATCTAAATTTTAAATTTTTAATTCCTTTAAAAATGCATAAATTATAAATAAATTATAAATGAAAATAATAAACTAAAATACCTAAAAGTTCTTATATATTTTAGTAAAATATGTACAATCAAATAATATAAATATAAGATCTAAATATTTATATATTTTAAAAATATGTCAAAAGTTTATAAAAATAAATCAATATTTTTTAAGTAATAAAACTAAATATTTTATATTTATTTTAATAAAATATTTATAATCAATTAAAATAACTGTTAAATCTAAATTTATATAAAATTTACGAAGATAAATTAATTTGAAACAAGTAATTTTTTAAACAAATTAAATTACAATTTATTATATATTTAAAAAAATATTTATAATCCACTAAAGAAATTTTTTTAAACTAAATTCATGCCCTTTTCAATACAAATTTTTAAAAATAAATAAATTTAAAATAAAAATATTTTTAATTAAAATTATAATATTTATCGTTTATATTATTTTATAATATTATAAAATATATAAATTTTTTTTAATTATAAAATTTTATGTTATTTTATATTATAATACATTTTTAAAAATATTTAATTAAATTGATTTTTAACGTTCATAAAATGAAATTATTATGTATAATTATTTATTTATTTATATTTATTTTGTAAAACGATTTCAAGACCACTGATGACGGGTATTTGGCAATATTCGAAACAGCTGTATGATCAGTCCATAATAATAAAATAATATAAAAATAATTTTTGTTGTTTTAGTTCAATACTTTTCGAAACCTCTACGAAAAAATAATTATTAAATCTAAATTTTAAATTTTTAACTCCTTTAACAAAAATTTATAAAGATTTATAAAAATACATAAATTCTAAATAAATAATAAATGAAAATAATAAACTAAAATACTTAAAAGTATTTTAGTAAAATATTTGTATAAAATTAAAATAAATTCTACATCCAAATTTTTAGAGCCTTTATTAAGAATTTTTAAAAATTTTATAATAATATTTTAGATTTTAAATACAATAATAATAAAAAGTTCTTTTATATTTTAGTAAAATATGTATAATCAAATAATATAAATATAAGATCTAAATTTTTATATATTTTTAAAATATGTGAAAAGTTTATAAAAATAAATCAATCTTGAAAAAATAATTTTTAAGTAATAAAACTAAATATTTTATATTTATTTTAATAAAATATTTATAATCAATTTAAATAACTGTTAAATCAAAACTTTTACTTATTAAAGTTATAAAAGTAAAAGTTTTAAATAAATATTTTGTGTTTAATAAAATTAAATTATATTTTAAATAAATAATTTTTATATTTAAATTTTTATACACTTTATTAAAAATTTATAAAAAATTTATTTAATAAAAATAACTTCTCTTTGTATTTATTTTTAGATGTTTTTTAAATAAATATTTTAAATGATAATAATAAATAGCTATTATTTATTTCAATAAAATGTTTATAATCAATTAAAATATAGTAGTTTGTATTTCTTTGCCGCTAAATCGAAAATTATTCAAATTTGGAAGTATATATCGAGCGCACCTTTGTGAGAGACAGCCTGAAACATTCTAAGGAGTTGTGAAAAACTGGACCTGCAGGTTGAAGCTCTCAGACGTTACCCTAAATTGAAACTGAAATAATTATTTTTTTCACGTACTATTATTCTAATTTGCCTAAACTGAGTCAGTTTTTCCTTTAATTTTAATTATAAGCTCTCATATAAGAACATTGTATATCAAAAGTATTTACAAGTTTAATAATAGGTGATACGGTTTAAAAGCTCCATTATTTATGTTGTATTGGTTTGTATTAATTATTTTATTTACTTTGAATTTAAATTATTTGTTTTTTTTTTAACTATTTCTTTGTACTTACTTGTATTTAGTAGAGTCATGTATGATTGGTCCCTCTCCACGTGTCCAATAATTTAGTGACGTGGGATGAGCTTCTGTAAAGCACTCAATAGTTACATTAAACCCTTCTGGAGCGCCTACCAATTGATGTGGTATTAAAAGCATTGGGGGAACTAATATAACCAAAGAAAAAGAAATATAGATTCCATTAATTTTTTTATTTTCACTTTATATTACTTTGTTTCAAATCACAAAAAACTAAATTAACAATTCCATAAAATATTTAAAAAAAAGATTTGAATGAGGTTGAAAAAACGAATATTCATTCCATTCAAAAAAATATTAACAGAATAAATTAAACTATAAAATTAATTAAATAAAACTGAAGTTCAAAAAGCGAAGATATATGTGCTGAACTATATATGGGTCATTTGTCTTACGGATTTTGTCTCAAGGTATATCGTAAGGCATAAGACTGGTACTAAGACTACAATTGGGTTTTTTAAAACAAAACATATTTTATATTGAAGTTCAAGAAATCATTCGAACATATACTCCTATATCGCAATCAGTTTACTTTTATAAGCTAAGTATTATATTAAATTGATACAACTTCTCTAGTATTATAAACCTTTTTCACATCAATATTTCAACAAAACTAATGAGAATTGTAATTTTTCCGTAACTTTATGCCGAGAACAGTGCTACAAACATTTATATAGCGTGTAGATCCATAAATTGTTATTATACATGGTAAACCTGGTTATACAGTACAATGTATGCTATATGTGTATTTAAGATTTGAGTTCTTATTGAGTTCGTATTTAAGTGCTATGCTCCATTTAGATGAATTGAATCCCTAAAAAGTGGATTGTTTGTACGAATATTCGATCATTTTTCGCATTAGCGAAAGTTGAGGTGATTGAAGTTTGTGAAACTATAGATGTGAATTACGTTTTTGTTTCGAAAAGTCATTTTTATACTATTTTACTTTTAAAATAATTTAAAATTGTATAACCTTAATCGCACAGATAATTTACTTCTACGGTTATATTTTTAATATTCTTAATAAAATATAAGTTTAAAGCGATTTATCACTTTTCTTATTTGAATTAATTTTGTATTTTAATTTACAATTATTGATTTTCTTTAATTTAATTTATCCGTTATCTGCCTTGCGATACATCTAAAATTAGTCAGTCGTTGTATTGAAAATATTGCTAACTAAAAGTGAAATTGATATTGATGAGTTTAATTCATTATCGATCATTTATAACTATTTATAGATGGTGTGTGATTTGTTGGTTTGTTGCGAATACGTAGTGAAGACGTTATGCATTCCCTAAAAATATGGGTTTTCTTATTTGTTAATAGAATAGTGTATTGCTCTAGTTGCTCAATTTCTATTACTTCTATAGATTGGTCAAACTGTCGCAAAGATTGCATTTTATATAGAAGCTTCTTTTCTCCTATAACCTTCTTCGATATATATTTTTTATGAAGTATTAAATCTAAAAGCATTCCTTGTTCTCTAATTTCACGGAATTTTGCTTTGTTTTGATAATTAGTCTTTTGGGTTTCTGTTTAGTTTCTTTGTCTTCGTCTTTTTTATTTTTAGCTAGACATGCTTCTGTAGACTCATATGCCGTCAGTTCTTTTTTTTCGGAATGCATTATGCAAGTGTTGCATGTATATAGCGATTGGATGTTTTCGGGCTATTTTGTGAAAACATGTTGAAGGTCTTTTACGTTAATTATTAGCCAGATAACATAAGTCTATCAAATGCAATATATGCATCAATAATCTTTTTAATATCTCTTGCAGAAAAATTGTTTATTTAAATATTCAGTCGGAGGCTGTTTAGACATTGGTCACTTTTTTTGCATTATAACTGATTTGCGTTCACTCACATGTAAAAAAAAATCTCGTTTATAAATGAAACGTTAAAAATAAAACCTTAAAATAAAACGATTTTTGTAATAAAATTAATTAATATGCAACATATCCAGTTGTACCTTCTGCTCAAAAAGTAATCGGATTTTGTAAATAAAACACACAAATTGAAATTTATTCCAAATTTATTTTAACTCCTTCAAAATATGCTCCTTCTGAAGCGATACACATATGCCAACGCTTAACCCAATTTTCCATACACTTCTCGTAGGCCCGTGAAGGTATGGCTTTTAGTTCCTTCAGCGAATTCTCTTTTACCAAATCAATCGACTCAAAACGCTTACGACGAAGGGGCAATTTGAGTTTCTGGAACAGGAAAAAGTCGCACGACGTCAGATCTGGCGAATATGGTGCCTGAGCGATGACAATGGTGTTGACAGCCGTGTTTGGTCAAAAAATCGCGTACAACAAGAATTTTCTATAGTTAAAATCGCTAAATGCACTTGAGGTACTCTCACATTAACAGCTGCTGATGTTTAAATGAACTATCTCGTAAAATTTGCAAACGTCATATATATCTAAAGCAATGTGTTTTGTCCCTAATTGTATTTAAGAACTCTTATCTATTATCATTACGGATTTATCAGGTTGATAAGTCTTTAAGATATCACATATATCTTAAGCAATGTGTTTTGTCACTTACAAGATTTAACGACTCCTATCTGTTATCATTACGGATCTATCAAGTTGACAGGTCTTTAAGATATCATATATGTCTTAAGTAATGTGTTTTGTCATTAACTGCATTTAAGGACTCTTTTCTGTAATCATTATGGACTTATCAAGTTAATATGTACTCCCTGTCAGTCAGCACTATCTACCTTATCATTCAGTAATTAAAGTGATATCAAAATTCAGTTTGTAATTGAGTAGGGATTGTTTTCGCATATTAAAATTTAAATTCAACGATTTTGTAAATGCTGCCACTTTATTTCATCTGCAATTTTGTTTTGCATAAAAAAAATATTAACGAAGTTTACATTGAATGCATAACAGAACCAAAAATGTAGAACTCATATTCGTGTTTTACGGAACATGTGTTGTTGGTCCATGCTGCATTAAGCAACAAATCAGTATTCATCCTCCGGACATGATGAGACATACGAACCAGACACAAAATGTCCACTAATATGCAAAGTACGAGAATAGATGCACAGAGAAATATTGCGTTTGCTGCTTTGCATTTCAAGCTTAAAGAATAAAAAAATTATCGCCTTGAGCGTCGCAACTGACTAGATGGAATCCCTTAATAGGTGTACCGGACTGTGTAGCAAAAATAATTACACATAAAACTGCAAAAACTACAAAAACTAGAAAAGTGCAATCGAGCAAGCACAAATGTCAGTAAACAAAACAACGAGATCACATCTGCAAGTCAAAGTTCCTGCTTGATGAGCCATAAAAACTTTGAATGCTTTGAATATTAAATGCATGCGAAATAAATAATAATAATAATATAAATGAAATACAAAAAAATAATAAATTATTGTGGTTCCTGATTTGTTTTTGGTTGGATATAATTGTATTATATATCATACATTGTATTAGCGCTCATGGACGCTCCTTTTAGTGAGCACAAAAAATACAAGCAAGGACAAATTATTTGAACTAATTTGTCCTTGTCCTTAAATTATAATCACATCAAATCCACATATTTATATATAGTTATATATTCGAGCTACTTAAATTTTCGAGAATTATAATGATAGAGTGCGCTACGGTAGAGTATGCATTCGTCTCAAGCATGGCAACCCATTCCGAAGACTGCTGTTATAAGTATTTGTGTTTTGTAGCTCTATTCTGAGCTAGAATAAAGTGTAATATAAAGTAAAGTAGTCGTTTTAACAATTTACAGGAGTTCGAAAATTTTCGAACACTTAAAGTTTCTTGATCCTTATATTCGAATTCGATTAATTTCAAAGTATTTGAACCGCGTAATGCTTGAAAAGTTTAGAGCACCAGCCTACAAGTTTAGAGCAAGCTGCCAGGAGATAGCGGAGCCACTAAATATCATCCACACGGCAGTTTGTAATTATTTAAAAAGATCATATGCAAAGATGTTTAGGTACCAAAGAATTAATTAATGCAAACAAATTGAATTGACTGAATTACCATTTTTTTAACCGAATAATTACGAGCAATGAAAAATCGATTAAATACGATAATACCCAATGTAAGCTAACATGTTCAAAAACCGGTGTCCCTCCATAAACGACATAAATGTCTAGATTACGGCAAACATAGTTATGTTGAGTGTTTGGTTTGATTGGAAAGGTAGGATTGGATTTGAAGGGAATTATCTACTAGGTACTAATCTGTTCAGATGCAATGACTGATTCGATTCTCTACTGTTCACAACTCGACCGTTTAAATACTGCACTAATATTTGACACATTAATTTGAAACAAATTGATGAAAATTGGTTACGAGGTTTTGATGCATCCACGGCATAGTCTTTCTTCCGCACCATCTGACTATCATATCTTACCGTCTCCGCAAAATTTTCTTGATAGTTAAAAATTTGTTGATCGAAGAATTTATATACGATATGCAGAATCATTGAGCAATGAATATTTTATTAACTGAAATAAGTATGTACTTAATGAACTTAGAACAAACTTCAGGTGTGTCAACAGTTTTCGAATTTCTTTCGATATTATTATAATAATTTGTCAAATTATTTTGAGTATTTTATGAACATTGTAAAATTTATGACTTTTGAAGTAAAATTCTTATACAATATTAAGTATATTTATATAACATTATTATGTTGGATCCATTAAGCTTTTAAAGGTTTTGTATATTTAAAATTAAATAACAAAATACCAACACTTTGTTTTAGTACACTCGAAAAAGCCAAGTATTCAGCAAACATACATATTATCTCAAAGCCTCTAACAATTTATAATTGAATAAATTTTGCAGTAAAAAAAAAACTCATCCTATTAATAAGCCCTTAATCGGATATATAGTTTTTGTCGGTTCATTCTTTTTTCAGGACAAAATGAGCACTGCTCTAGGGTACTTTTCTTCTGAAGACAGCAATTTTTATTGACATTATAAGACCTTCGTACTTTGCTATAATATATAGCGAAGTTATATATAATATTATGTATTATATTTATATATATATAAACTATAATAATATAATATAATAATAATATATTTATATATATATATATGTAAAATATAATAATATATTTATTAAATGTGTTATAAA